CATTCGAAATTAACACCAAGATTTAAGAGAACAGATGTCTTTGGTTCACACACAACACCACAGCTTGGGAAATCGCCAAGTTAGTTATTACAGAGAACGATATATGCAGAAAGAAACATCACTGACATCTGACACTTGAGCAAAGTACAGTGAGAGGAGTTTAACATCAATTCAACTCTTTGTAAATAATTACTGGGTAGATCCAAACTAGTAAACGTGAAACAAGGCTCAGTTAAACCATGACTTGTAATACACAAATAACCCGCACATAAAAGAGAGAAGCTTACGACGACGTTTCGGTCCGACTTGGACCATTGACAAAGTCACACTAACAGAGGTGGAGCAGGACGGCTATATATAGGCAGGAAGAGGTGGTAGTAGTAGTAGTAGTAGTAGTAGTAGTAGTAGTACAAAAATTGTATATAATACCGACAGGATGACTTGTAATAATGTTGGTAGAATTACTGACAATATGTTAGGTAAAAAGGACACAAGTGCAACTAATGTAACGTTTCATTGTGGCAACGTTTCTCTCTCCAGGAGCTTCGTCAAGCCGTTACCTGCTTAACAAAGCTCCTGGAGAACGAAACGTTGCCAAAGTAAAATGTCACATTAGTTGCACTTCTGTCTTTTTACCCAATATATGACCTGACTTTTTGTAATCTCTGCAAAAATCTCATTCTCCCTGTCTACATAAGTTGTTTTATTGTTCCAGTCACTTCACAAAGTTCGTCCAGAGCGAGGCACAGTTTGCAAGACACTTGTTCTTACCATTATTTTTATGGTGGCAAGGTGTTTGAAAGACAATTATAGCGACGGCTCTTGTGAGCGAAACGTCGTAATAATACAAGCTCTTCTGTTGTACTTATCTTCCTTCCCTCTTCCTTCCATTTGCGGATGGTTAGTCCCTCTTGAGGGACTGACCACCTCATATCTGCAAGGTTGATGGACTGATTACATTAACTTCAGTTCGCTACTACACCTGCTGCCTCTGCCCTTGACTGAAGAATCCTACTGCGTAGGTGGTGTTGATTATGCTGCATATTCTACGTGACCCCAATTATCAATCTTAGACTCATAAGAGGTTCATTATCGATTCAGTAAAAATTAAGCACCATTAAATTCCAGGTTCATCCATCTTTCCAGTCTACACTATTAGTCATGTTACTCACTGATGTTAGACACCACGTCTACACTGCCGCCAGACTTTTCCTCGCTGCAACATTCAAAGATCATGCCTCACACGTTCCTAAAAGTGTTGTTTCCCACATACATAGATGCATTGCCTATTGATTCTATTGGCAAAACGGCTTTCTTTTTACACATTTCTCAACTTTCTTTTTCCAGTATAGTTTGTGATTTATCTTATCTTTCATAGACCTGTATGTCAATAGATCAACTTCCAACATCTATTTTTCTAATTAACGAAATCTTAATAGCATCTTTCATCCTCCAAAATATCACGCTTGCATTTCGTTGAACAGATACACTTCGTAGCATTCTGACTGACTCTTTATTCTCTTCCCCCTGATGCTTCCGGTGTCCTCTATTTCGTGCTTCTTGTATCTTCTTCACTACAGTGGTCAACTTTGTCTCTCACTTTCTGACATGCTTAAAAAACGCAACTAAACTGTTCGTCTTACCGATACTAGCAGTACTCTCTTCTCTCAGATCATATACATTCTATAAACTGATCTACTGCAAGAAATGTCCTTTCCTCTTGTATCCTTGACGGACTACGTTTTGTTGAATCGGGTCTTATGCACAAGATCCCTACATGAATCTTAATCTCGGTTGATGCTTGCCTTGTCTAGTACGTTGTGAAATACTCTAATCTTCAGAAGACACGTGATATAACTTGTCTTCTGGAATATGTCTCAATTTTCATATTTTCTGATTCCCTTCCCTCCCTCTTCGGGAAATTCCGATGATTCATGTTTGCTTTGCCCAACTTCCAGGTACCAAAACTCACTTGGTTCCTACAACTTTATAATTAGTCTTTCGTGATTACTTCCAGTTTCACTCTGGTGCTACTGCAGTGTACACTGATGGTTCCTGATACCTGGTGATGTCGGGTATGAAGTTGTTTCACCTGAACGAATCATCAGAGGCCATTAGTATCGGCTAGTACTTTCACGTCGGACTTATATGCAATTATCACTGCTATCATCCACAGTGCCACCATGTCCGCCTCAACATCCGTAGCTGTTCCAGACTCGCAACGTGCGTTACAGAGAATCCAGAAATTCGACTCTCATCTCACTGTCCTTCATATACAGCTTGGGTTGTGTCGCGTTTCTAATAAGTGACAAGAAGTTGTGTTTTTCTGGGTCCCTGAACATACTGATGTTCAGAGTGATGAACATTCTGACTCAGTCGCTCGGTCACCTATAGTTTCGGATGTTTTATATTATATAAACATCTTTGCTTCATCTAACTCAATTCTTGAAGTGATTTAATTACATATATTTGCGCTTCTAAATTTAATAAAATTTTTACTCTCAGAATTTGTCCTGGCTGTGACAAGCCTCTCTCTCTCTCTCTCTCTCTCTCTCTCTCTCTCTCCTCTCTCTCTCTCTCTCTCTCTCTCTACTATTCTTACCAGTTCTTACACAATATACAGAAAAAAATATTCTTTGTTTTTGGTTTTGTGATTTAAATACAAATATATTTTTATAAAGAACATGAAGGTACAATACTGTGACTGGAACAATACACATTTACAAAGTCACATGTGACTTTGTAAATGGTCCAAGTAGAGCCGAAACGTCGTGGTAAGCTTCTCTTGTCCTAAGTGCGGGTTATATGTGTTAATTTTATGGACAATAAATAGCCTGGGTTTTTTTCTATTGTGTTGCAAGTGAAAAGTGAGGAACAAAAATTCCTCGACGCATCATAATCCATAATAAATAAAAAATTCATATACCGTACATTTTAATTTCATTTTATTCGCGGGTAAGCGTTAAACCTGTAGGAGTCATACAGCTCCCGGGGAATGGAAGACATTCATATTCATCCAAGGAAGGGGAAGTTAGGTCCCAGTCCTTGGATCCAGAGCCCCTGACCAGCATCAAGGCCCCTTGAGAGGAGGATCTTTTAAGGAAACGCACCAGTCAGGTTCCTGTGTTCACCTTCATTCTTATCATCATGATAAAGTTAAAAATAAATTCCATTTTTTTTTTGAGAATATTTTATGTTTACAGTGTATTGATAAAAAAATTAACACTTAATAATACTGGAACTAAACTGAAATACTCCGATATTAACATTTTGATGCGTCTAGGTCGCCTGTGTTTCATACAAGCTTAATAATACTTCCTGACACTTAGGAGTTTGTTAATGTTCTCTGTTTACTTAAGTTTCAAAGACTTTGTTACTTTTTTTAAATAAGTGTACCTTTAAAAATTCTCATTCGTTGACCAGATGAGAAAAGTCTCACTTCTAGTATCAAGAACAAACGACATTTAAACACATCGATTGCAACCCTTTGATGTTAAAAATAATTTAAGAAAAAAAATTTGTATTCCTTTGTTTTTCTGCAATTTTTCTGCTGTTGAGTATTGCACAGAAAAAACAAAGAAAAAAGAAAGAAGGAACACTGCAGAAAGGCCTACGACCCATGCAAAGGAGGTTCATGGCGCCCCCCCCTAGTCGGGTTACTTTTACTTTAAGGAAGGAGCAGGGCATAGACCTATAGCACAACTAGAAAGGGTCCAACCACACCCCCCCACACCCACTTGTATTTATCTAACCCATTTTTAAAACTACACAACGTTTTCCCCCAATAACTGTACCAGGGGTTTGTTCCACTCATCCCCAACTCTATTACCAAACCCGTGCTTTCCTATATCCTTCCTGAATCCGAATTTTTCCAACTTGAAACCATTGCTGCGAGTCCTGTCTTGGCTGGAAATTTTCAGTACGCTATTTACATCCCCTTTATTTATTCCTGTCTTCCATTTATACACCTCGATCATATCCCCCCTAATTCTACGCCTTTCGAGAGAGTGCAGATTCAGGGCCCTCGGTCTATCCTCATAGGGAAGATTTTTGATACATTGGATCAACTTTATCATCCTCCTCTGTACGTTTTCCAGAGCATTTATATCCATTCTGTAATATAGTGACCAGAACTGGGCAGCATAATCTAAATGAGGCCTAACCAAGGATATATAGAGTTGAAGAACAACCTGAGGACTTCTCTTATTTATACTTCTAGATATGAAGCCAAGGATTCTGTTAGCTTTATTGCGAACACTAACGTACTGTTGTCTTGGTTTTAGATTACTAAAGAATTTTATTGCAAATGACTTGACTGAATTTACCGTAAATTATAATTTTTAATCTTACTAGTGGTTTGCATCTGACTTATTTTTCATAAGGTTAGTATTTGATTTTTAATAAGGTTAGTGTCAGACACCAAGGTTAGTATTTGATTTTTAATAAGGTTAGTGTCAGACACCAAGGTTAGTATTTGATTTTTAATAAAGTTAGTGTTTAGTAAACCCGGGAAGACATCATGTACTGACTTCATCGTTCAGGATGCTGGATCTCATTGTATCTGAATGCAGATCAAGTATGAAAGGTTTAAAGATGTAGGAACATGTAACTCGTCCCGTTGTTTAATGCTAAGTGAGGAAGGAGAGTGTTTGTAAACACTCGCACCTATTTTCTGTGTCTACACATAAAAGAAATCTCAGGCAAGAGATGACGTTTGTCTGCTTTTGCTACTCAAACACTAACCACCACCACTACCACAACCACCACCACTACTACCACAACCACCCCCACCACCACTACCACAACCACCGCTACCACAACTACCACCACACACACTAAACCACCACCTCCACCAACACATTTACACATTAACCACCACCCCCTCCCACACACTAACATTAACCGCTTCTATCTCTCTCACACTCACACATTAACCACCACCACGACCACCACGACCACCACGACCACCACCCACTAACTATTGTTTCTCCCCTACACAGAAAGTATGCGGAGCGCGCGGGTGGGGGCGCCACGACCCCCACTACAACAAGACAAGAGATGCTCTCAGGAAGCTGTGGGATGTGCTGACCAGCAAGGCTGACACTGATCATGACAAGCAGGTGTGTGATTACCCATCTGTACCTATAAGAGCAGGACAATGCTCGTGGTGTCCTGTCTTCAGTACTCTGTTCATCATATGATTTTTTTAAAAAATTTTAGTGGTTGCAGCACTTAATAATTCCTCTTTGAATGCAATCCACTAGTCAACCATTCTATATGAAAAAATTCTATCCTTCCCACTCAACTTTTTAACATTTCACAACTGTGGATTTTTGTTATCCCTTTTGCAGATATTAAGAAAGGATTCTTTGGAGTCCTTTCCAGACTTTATATGTGGCTATCATGTCTTCTCTTTCCTGCTATCAGCCAACACTGGCTATCATGTCTTCTCTTTCCTGCTATCAGCCAACACTGGCTATCATGTCTTCTCTTTCCTGCTATCAGCCAACACTGGCTATCATGTCTTCTCTTTCCTGCTATCAACCAACACTGGCTATCATGTCTTCTCTTTCCTGCTATCAGCCAACACTGGCTATCATGTCTTCTCTTTCCTGCTATCAGCCAACACTGGCTATCATGTCTTCTCTTTCCTGCTATCAGCCAACACTGGCTATCATGTCTTCTCTTTCCTGCTATCAGCCAACACTGGCTATCATGTCTTCTCTTTCCTGCTATCAGCCAACACTGGCTATCATGTCTTCTCTTTCCTGCTATCAGCCAACACTGGCTATCATGTCTTCTCTTTCCTGCTATCAACCAACACTGGCTATCATGTCTTCTCTTTCCTGCTATCAGCCAACACTGGCTATCATGTCTTCTCTTTCCTGCTATCAGCCAACAGGGGGTAACTTTAATATTTTCTACCTTTCATCATAGTTCATATTCCTAAACTCTGGCGGCCATTTTGTAGCTCGTTTTTTTAATTTATAAACAACTTTCTAAACATTTCATCAAGTGATTTTTATCACATTTATTTTCATTTATATAATTTTCCGGTGACAGTTATTTTTAATAATGGCTCCTGTATACCTCTCTGATATTTTCAGTAATTTGTCACACAATCTTCATTCCATTCCATTTCTTCGATTTCCATTACATGACATTTATCTACAATAAATTCCATCATCCATGTATCACTCCATGTGTTCAGTGTATCCAGATCCTCCTGCAAGAATTTACGGTCATTTTCATTATTAAGTTTGCATAAAATTTTCGCATCTGCAGACTTTCATATTTTTTTATTCCTTGCAGTAAATCATTTATAAAATTAGGAATATTACTGGGGCAAGTAGAGAGGTTTGCGGCACCCCACTTGTCACATCCACCCACGCACACATTTTTCGCATTTTCCTCTCAAAGTTTTTCATTCACCTTCAATTTACCTTTAATTCTTCGTCTATTCTGCAGTTTTCATATTAGTTTTTCATGCCGCTTGCCAGGTTCACTCACTCATAGCCTCGTGGTACCTACTCTTAAAACTAAGTTTGGAGCCTCTGCCTCCATTTTTCCCTCGAGGTTATTGCACGTCCTGACCATCCTAAGACATTAGAAATACTTCCTGAAATCCTTGTGACTCATGTACCTCTTTAACTTCCAGATGTGACCCCGAGTACCTGTTGTCATTTCTCTCCTGGTTCTTATGTCTTCCATTGTCGTTAGATTCAAGTTTGTTAGTCTTTCCATGTAGTGTATGTCCCCTTCCTTCTGTATACTTCAGCACTTTCTCGAGTTTTTTTTTTATGATTTTTCAGGTGAGTTCCATGCTGGTGCTGCATACTCTAAAATGGGCCTGATATATTTAAATAAAGGGTCAGTATTGATGCTTTGTTGTGATTTCTGAAGGCTATTCTTAGATTTGTCAGATGAACATTGGCTGTAGAGGTTATTCAGCTGATATGAGCTTCTGGCGATATCCTCGGTACTATGCTCACCCCTAGATCTGCAGCTTTTTTCCCCCAAGTCTATACTTATGCTTGTTGGTTGGTTGACAGTCGTTGTGCATAGTGTTGGTTGACAGTCGTTGTGCATAGTGTTGGTTGACAGTCGTTATGCATAGTGTAGGTTGAAAGTCTTTATGCATAGTGTTGGTTGACAGTCGTTGTGCATAGTGTTGGTTGACAGTCGTTGTGCATAGTGTTGGTTGACAGTCGTTATGCATAGTGTAGGTTGAAAGTCGTTATGCATAGTGTTGGTTGACAGTCGTTATGCATAGTGTTGGTTGACAGTCGTTATGCATAGTGTTGGTTGACAGTCGTTATGCATAGTGTTGGTTGACAGTCGTTATGCATAGTGTTGGTTGACAGTCGTTATGCATAGTGTTGGTTGACAGTCGTTGTGCATAGTGTTGGTTGACAGTCGTTATGCATAGTGTAGGTTGAAAGTCGTTATGCATAGTGTTGGTTGACAGTCGTTATGCATAGTGTTGGTTGACAGTCGTTATGCATAGTGTAGGTTGAAAGTCGTTATGCATAGTGTTGGTTGACAGTCGTTATGCATAGTGTTGGTTGACAGTCGTTATGCATAGTGTTGGTTGACAGTCGTTATGCATAGTGTTGGTTGACAGTCGTTATGCATAGTGTTGGTTGACAGTCGTTATGCATAGTGTTGGTTGACAGTCGTTGTGCATAGTGTTGGTTGACAGTCGTTATGCATAGTGTAGGTTGAAAGTCGTTATGCATAGTGTTGGTTGACAGTCGTTATGCATAGTGTTGGTTGACAGTCGTTATGCATAGTGTTGGTTGACAGTCGTTATGCATAGTGTTGGTTGACAGTCGTTATGCATAGTGTTGGTTGACAGGTCGTTATGCATAGTGTTGGCTGACAGTCGTTTATGCATAGTGTTGGTTGACAGTCGTTATGCATAGTGTTGGTTGACAGTCGTTATGCATAGTGTTGGTTGACAGTCGTTATGCATAGTGTTGGTTGACAGTCGTTATGCATAGTGTTGGTTGACAGTCGTTATGCATAGTGTTGGCTGACAGTCGTTATGCATAGTGTTGGTTGACAGTCGTTATGCATAGTGTTGGTTGACAGTCGTTATGCATAGTGTTGGTTGACAGTCGTTATGCATAGTGTTGGCTGACAGTCGTTATGCATAGTGTTGGTTGACAGTCGTTGTGCATAGTGTTGGTTGACAGTCGTTGTGCACAGTGTTGGTTGACAGTCGTTATGCATAGTGTAGGTTGAAAGTCATTATGCATAGTGTTGGTTGACAGTCGTTATGCATAGTGTTGGTTGACAGTTGTTGTGCATAGTGTTGGTTGACAGTCGTTACGCTATTCAGGTTTATCTCATGTTGTGTACAGTATAAGTAAACTGCTCTGGTATATCTCTTATTGTGGCCAGAAATACATTTCTCTCAGATTTTTCATCCATTTACAAAACGCCTTTCATTCCTCTGTCACAAACAAGCGACCTACTAGGTGAGAACAGTTAGGAAAAACATCTCTTTGACGTTTATCATGTAAATATTATAATAATCCAGAAACACACTCTTGTATTTCTGATGTATATTTTGTTTTTCATTACCACAACACTGTTTCTCTAGCACAATGTTGAGTATTACTCTCAGAGAACAATCTTCACTTCTGTGTGATCTGGTCACTTCTCTTACCTCTCATTTCCTATCTACACAACAAACCATTTTTGCTGCTGTGTCCTTCTACAGTTCTTCTCTCCGGTCTTGCCATCCCTAGGACCATGTAGACTTCCGCATCCTCACATCTGCTGCATCATCAGTTCTCTGTCTCACTCTCGCCGCTCTCAGCCTCCTCCTCCTCCTCTCTCTCTCTCTCTTTCCTCTCTTTCTCTTACCTTTCATCCCATTCTTCACTTTCGGCTTGCTCAAAGAAATTCACTGACACTGTCATATCTTCTCACAGTTTTGTTTTGTCTTCTTTTATTAACCTCTTACATTTTTTACTGTACATCTTCTTCTCATTAATCCTCCTTCAGCAGGTCAGCATTTTTTTTGCTTTTCTTGTACTCATTCCGTTGATATATTGATCACTAATTTCCTCTTCCACTGAATATTTCCCCCGTGTAACTAAATCTTCCTCACATGTCGACTGAATATTTACCATGACTAACTAATCTTTCCACGTCGAGTGTTAACTAAATACTAGTGCCACTTGAGCCGAGGCTGAAGCATGAAAGAAGTGTACTCACCTGTTTGTAGTTGTACGGGTCGAATCACAGCTCCTGGCGCCGTATGTGTGTGTGTACTCACCTAATTGTACTCACCTAATTGTGGTTGCAGGGGTCGAGACTCAGCTCCTGGCCCCGCCTCTTCACTGATCGCTACTGGATCCTCTCTCTCTCTGCTTCCTGAGCTTTGTCATACCTCTTCTTAAAACTATGTATGGTGTGTGTGTGTGTGTGTGTGTGTGTGTGTGTGTGTGTGTGTGTGTGTGTGTGTGTGTGTGTGTGTGTGTGTGTGTGTGTGTTTTGTGTGTGTGTGTGTGTGTGTGTGTGTGTGTGTGTGTGTGTGTGTTGTGTGTGTGTGTGTGTGTGTGTGTGTGTGTGTGTTTTCATTAGCATCATTAAGCATTTCAGCCCAGGGTTTGACTTCCACCAAGTCTGGAGTTTCTTACAGATTTGCATAGGAAATTCTTTCCCAGGTTGCGACCCAAAACAGTAAGTTATCGCTCAGGTACCCGTTTTTTTTCTGCTTGGCGAGCAGCGGGCACCAGCTGGGAGGAGAGTTTCCCGTAAGTCACGCAGGAGAGAAAGAGAGGAGGCAGGCAGAGAGGAGGGGCTGGGAGGAGGGGCAGGGAGGAGGGGCAGGGAGGAGGGGCAGGGAGGAGGGGCAGGGAGGAGGGGCAGGGAGGAGGGGCAGGGAGGAGGGGCAGGGAGGAGGGGCAGGGGGAGAGGGGCAGGGAGGAGGGTCAGGGAGGAGGGGCAGGAAAAGAGGCAGGGAGGAGGGGCAGGGAGGAGGGGCAGGGAGGGAGGGCAGGGAGGAGGAGCAGGGAGGAGGGGCAGGGAGGAGGGGTATTTTACGTTTAAATATATATATTTTTTCATTTATGTTAATGTAAAAATTAATAATTTTGTACCAAAA